GTAGTGAGAGAGAGGGAGACTTTAGGAAAGCAGGGGGGAGGAGGTGGGGGCAACGACCCTGACCCCTAAAAGTGATGACGAGTCTTTAGTGCTCGCTCTCTGTGAAGTTTGCCCCTGTAAAAGAGCTCGGTTACCGTAACTCTGGTTAAAGTAACCGCCGTATCTTCTCCACGCTTTGTGCTGAACGTAAAGGCGTCTCGGTGGCGTCTTTATCTCAAACTAATCAGCAGCCAATGCAAATCACACGAAACTGAAACGCAGCCTGAGGCACAGACGCGGTGAAGAAACACGTCACCAAAACACTCCAGGCTATCTTTTTTTACGCTCTTCAGAAACCTCTGAAACGTGTGCGAACGTTTCTCAACCTCCTTTTAGCGTTTATTCCTGCGCACATTCCAGCGCTGTGCGAAATTGGACTACAAACCCCATTCATTGAGCCTTTTTTTCCTCTTCGCGGACTTCCTTTAACGCGATTGGTCCGCGCGTCTTCGATTGACGGCCCTTCGTCCAATCAGCGTGCTCTGACGCTCACCGTGTTCGGCCGGGAGGCGGGCGCTCCGCCAGCTCACAGAAAGTGCCACGACTCCACAGTCCGCGGCGAGTCCGAATCACTGACTGGAAGCGTCTGGTAAGTCTCCCGTTTTTCCTCCGTTTAAATGTCTTTCTTTGCGAACGAACATTTAAACTAAAGGTGGATTAAGGGGTTCAGAGTTGTTTCAGAGCTGTTGCCATTTCCCAGTTCCTTCGAAAAGGCGCTTAAAAGCGTGAAAAGCTGGTTGGTTTCGGGATGTTTGAACGTTTTTTTGTGTAAACTTTCTCTGCTGACTGAGAAGAAAAGCAAAGCCAGCTTTTTCCTTCTTCTCCTCAGAACGTAACCTCACTCTTTTGAATGAACCAGGTCTTAAATGTTGAGTCTAATTGAGGATTTTCGGTTGTAGCTCGGTTTCGCTCGTGCTGCTTGACTCTTCGCTCCTGACCAAAAACGTTGAAAAAAAAAAATGCTGCTAAAGATGATGTGGCCCAAAGGAGCCTCGGACTCTGCTGCTGCCCTCAAACCAGCTCTAATGGGAAAACTCATTTAGCTCTTCCTTCAGGCTGCTTTCACCCCAGCCTGCTTATTTCTAAGCCCTGAAGAAAGTTCTTGCATGCTTTTGTACACGTTTCACTTTCTGGGAAAGGAGAGTGGTCAGTGGAGGCTGCTGCTTTGAGAAGAAGTCCAGGTAAATGATGAACCATGAGTTCTGTATGGAACCTTTTCATTCTAACTGGTTCTTCAGATAGATGGAGAATGTGTTGTGTATGGTACTATATAGCACCAGAAAGTGTACTTCTGTTGTTACAAACCTGACACTGTAACAGTAGAAGAACCCTTTTTGGTGCTGTGTAGAACTATATGCAACACATTCTCCATCTGAGGAAACCATGGTTTCACCATGCAAAAAGCAATTTAAACATGAAATGGTTCTATTCAGACCTGCAGAACCTTTTGAAGAGCCATCTTTTTTAAGAGTGCAGCTCTATTTCTTTCAGGATTCTGTTTCATCTTGGTTCCCTGTCACTCCCTCTTAACTTCAAATGAGTGGATTATATCAGACTTTGTCTCAAGCAGATGCCATCAGATGTTCTGGAAAGGAGAAAGATGAAAGGTCCCCTGTGCTTGTAGAAGGGTCTTCAAGCCCTAAAGACCCAGAATCAGTTTGAATAACGACTGCCGGTGAGTTGGCAGCGTGGCGTTATTAGTGTTATGCAATACCAGAGATCCTGCCGAAGGGGTTAATGTCTGAAACTGCAGGATGGCCCGTCTTCCCCAAGACATACAGTCAAGCACATTGAAGTTTGGGCATGTATCTCTCTGCATGCAGAGACTTTTCTGGGTGTTTATGCTTCTGATTTATAGGGGTGGGCAATATGATGATTATTGTGATGAATAACGTCACAGTATACTTTTCTGAGTTTATTATGGGTATCATCAGTAGTTAACACAATGTTTTATTACAAAGAGAGCGTAATTATTCTTATTTAATTGGATTTACTGTAGCATAGCATGTAATGTATATAATGATAGTATTTTTTTCAATGTGTTCTTTTTGACTTTTTCAACTTATCAGTCATCGGAAAAATTAATTATAGTGATAAAAACGTGGTTGGGTACCCTGATATTAAATCTTTGCCATATCGTCTGCTCCGGTGGGTCCATATAATATTTCATAAGATATTGTCTATAATTACTTTCTTAATGTGGCTTGGATGCATGGTTCAAGGAAAAGCCTTTAACACGTTATGTGGAGGTGCTTTAAACCTTTGCACATCACATTTACAAACATGGTTCTGTAAAGACCTTTTCAACTGGTTTATTAGGGAACCAAAAACGTCTTTCTAATGGGTGTAGTAGTAGAAGGGCTACATGACAAGGCAGTTAGTCATAGACCAGCACAAACTATTAATAAGGTACAGTTTGTAAATATTTGGACAGGGTCACAAAATTTGTTTTTTGGCTCTACTCCAGCATATTGTGTTTGAGAGTACAGTTTTAGCTTTACTTAGAGGGTATGTCCATTGAGTGGCTGAACGAATCAGTGTTTTTTTTATAGTTAACACAATACATTTATGGTGGCCAGAAGTAATTGGACAGTCCTCTGCTCAGTCACTCCTTGGCCAGCTGTGTCATTGCATTGTGTTTGTGCATGCTCTCAAAATGAGTAGGCACAGATGTGCCAAAGAATAAAAATATACCAGCCACACTTCAGAAACATCACAACAAGATGTAAAACATTATTACAAGAAAATGTCTAGGACAAAATTATAAAAAGTATAAATGGACTTAATTTCAACTTGGAAAAAACTTAAATGTAGTGAATAATGGCACAACTGACAATCCAAAGCATACATCTTCATCTGTGAAACATGGTGGAGGTAGCATGGCTTGGGCATCTATGGCTGCTAGTAAAGGGGCCATGTAGCACATTATTTGATTAACTTGGAGTCTAGTAGGTGTTTAGGAAAGATGCTCACAGCACATGGTAAAAGAAACATTGGTCAGTGGGTTCATTTGCATATTGCAGCCTTCTGTGATGTGAGCACATTTCTATAATGAATCACAAATGATATATTGTGTAGTGTTAATTCGAACGAATCAAAATTCAGAAACAGCAAGGCAGGGATTTAAAGTTGAATTGTCCAGTCACTTATGGTCACCTAAAATAAGCAGATGTGTAAAAATGGCTGTTTCTTGTTTGATTTGGCCAAAAATAATGTAGGTATACTTACTCTCGCATTATATTGGCCATAATCACATTAACACTGTCCAAGTACTTATGGCTAGTTCTATATCTGCAACAACATAACCGGGTTTTCAGATTCACATGTAGTTCTCATTGGATAAGAAAGCATGCAATGAGTTTGGTTTGTTGAAACTGGAAACTTTCCCCCACTTGATATGCATCATTTTGCTTGATGCATGAGCAGTATGCAAGATCTAACCAAATCTTTTGCATTTAAAGTTGAACCACAAGCAAATACAGACATTCCCACAAGTTAGCACTTGCTAACAGAATGTCCTAACCCTCAAACCCGATGCGGAAATCAAACTAATTTGAGCTTTTCGCAGCATTGTCAATACATTCTTAGAATAGAATCAGGGGAACCTGATCCTGATATTACTCTAGAACCTTTTTTTTAATACCTTCAGCTCTGTATAAACTGGGCATACAGAGCTCTTAAAGCAGTAGCTACTTTGCCTACCAGAGCTAACATGGCTAAAAATGAATGGGAGATAATAGGGGCAAGTTATTATCATGCTGATTTCATTCCTCATTCAAGTTCCTACAAAGGAACTATGATGTAAAAAAACTAAAAAGTCAGCATTACTCTTCATCTCAGGGTCTCTCTGCATGTGGTGTGCGTGCCCCTGTGGGTTCTCGGGCCGTCTTTAAGACATTCCAGTCAGAAAACCTCCAGCTAGTGCAAACACACATTCATCGGGGGGTCGTGTCTGCATGGAAGAGGGGGTTATTGTTTGCTACTGCTACTACAGACTGATCACATGGATACTGGAGAGCCATTTGCAGACCTGTGGAGTGGAATGGAGTGCGCTGAGTGGGATGGCATGATCTTTGGACAGCGTTGCGTAAGCTGCTCTCCAGTGGTCGAGAGTTGGGGAGCTGCCATTTCTCAGTGAAAAAGGGCTTTGAGACAAGGAGAGTGAAGGAGGGGAGGTTACATGTATGGACCTTTTTTGTACTTTTACCTGAGCAGACAGCTTTGTAGAGTAGTGTGGATTTGTCTTGTGGGTATAATATCACATATTGGCCTCAGGGAAGTTCTGGTTTTTGAGAACGTTTGAAGCAAGATTTTGTTAAAAAAGTTTGACTTGGATTGACATAAATTCTCTCTCAGAATCAAGCTGTAATGTCACCTGTACTTTGAACATAAGAACTTGCTTAAAATGGCAATACAAAAATAGTAGGTGGGATTAGTTTCGACAGATGTCAGATAGCCATTGTAAGGTTGAACACTTTGGGGGGAAAATATGATTTGCATTTTTCTGACTAATGTTGAGATTGTAAGACCAGCACATGCATTTTTTTTCAGGCTTGCCGAATGTAATGTGACGGAGTCCCATGACTCAAGCTCTGTGTTCTTGGTTTTAATAGTTTCCGTTAAAATAAGCATTTTTTGCACTATTTATCAATCTCTCCATCACGTCACTTAAGATTACCATCTAAAACAAATTATGCAAACACTCTACCCCACCACAGGAAGAATTAATCACACATGACATCAACAGCATGACATCACACAATGCGAGTGTGCTATTTCAGGCTTCATTTGTTACAGGATTGGATCAGATTCATTCATTTTTCCCCTCCAGTGTTCATTTCAGAATAAACCATCTCCAGAAACAGTATTATTATTCCATGGTGAATGCCGAGGGTTAACTTATCATGTCTCTCGGGATGGTACTCCAGTGAACCTCACAGATGCTGTTTATTCTGTTGCAGAAACAGGATTAGCGGCGGAACAGGACTGAGCAGAGATGGACGTGTATGACCCTCAGACTCTGGGCATCATGGTGTTCGGCGGCTTCATGGTGGTTTCAGCCATCGGCATCGCCCTGGTGTCCACTCTCTCCATGAAGGAGACGTCATATGAAGAAGCCCTGGCCAAGCAACGTCGCGAATTAGCTAAGACCCAACCCCCACGCGTTGACAAGAAGAAGAAGGCATCAGAGAAAAAAACCAAAGCCAAGAAGAAGGAGGAGAAACCCAATGGGAAGCTTCCGGAACAGGACTCTGGTCCTGAACTTGCTTCGGAGACTAGCGAACCGGAATCGGACCCAGAACCAACAGCTGCACCAGAGCCTGTTCCTGTGGTCGAAGCCCCAGTTGTTCCGGTGCCTGTGATTCCTGAACCTAAAGCAGAAGTTGAGGTCATTCCAGCTAAGGCTGCCGTAGTGGCTGCCCAACCTGCACCATCCCCAAAGGACAAGAAGAAGAAGAAGGTGGCAAAAGTAGAACCAGCCCCTGCTAAGCAAGTGGAGATTGCTGCAGAGACCGTCACTAAAGAACCAGCCCCTAAGGTTGCCAAGGAGCCCATCACTAAGGAACCAGCTGCTAAGGCTGCTAAGGTACCAGCTGCAAAGGTTGCTAAGGAACCTGTTGCTAAAGAACAGGCCACAAAGGTCACCAAGGAATCTTCTGCAAAGGTTACCAAGGAACCTGTTGCCAAGGAACCTGCTGCTAAGGTTGCCAAGGAACCTGTTGCCAAGGAACCTGTTGCTAAGGAGCCTGCGGCAAAGGTCGCCAAGGAGCCTGCAGCTAAGGTCGCCAAGGAGCCTGCGGCAAAGGTCGCCAAGGAGCCTGCGGCAAAGGTCGCCAAGGAGCCTGCAGCTAAGGTCGTCAAGGAGCCTGCAGCTAAGGTCGCCAAGGAGCCTGCAGCTAAGGTCGCCAAGGAACCTGCAGCTAAGGTCGCCAAGGAGCCTGCAGCTAAGGTCGCCAAGGAGCCTGCAGCTAAGGTCGCCAAGGAGCCTGCAGCTAAGGTTGCCAAGGAACCTGCAGCTAAGGTTGCCAAGGAACCTACTGCCAAGGAAGCAGCTGCAAAGGTCGCAAAGGAACCAGTCACTAAGGTTGCCAAAGAACCAAAAGCCACAAAGGAACCAGCTCCTAAGGCCACTAAGGAGACAGTGGTTGCCCAAGTTGTCCCAGTGGCTGCAGCTCCACCAAAATCTGAGGAACCCAAACCTGAAACTCCTTCCAAGAAGAAGTCCAAGAAGAAGACAGAGCCAGGTGGGTGCTACAAGGTTACAGCTTGGAACAATATGCTAATGTGGCTAATAGTGAATGAAAAGTAGTGGGAACCACTTAGCGTGATTTTGACACAAACTTGCTTTCATTCTTTAGTAGCAGCATCGACTTTTTAGAGTGAAGTGTCCAGATAAGCCCATTCTTTTTTGTGTATTTGCTAGGTAACTGGTCATTACAGGCATTCAGAGGGGTCTTGGTTATTTTTCCTTTTAAAAATAAATAATTAAACCCCATGTCCCATTCCTCTGCTCCTCAGAGACCAATGTTAGCATTTGTTGACTGTTAAAATGTTTTTTTTTTTTTTCCCCCCCAAATGAATATGTTTGCTAATGACCGATGTAAGGTTTTCCATTGACATCTTACCCCAGCATCTCTTACAGCAGTTACTGTGGAAGCAGCGGATGTGCCTTTGCTGCTGCCGTTTAAAACGCTTGTGGCCACCCTGAGCAGCTCTGTGTTCAGTGAATCAGAGATACAGAAGCTTTTGGAGATCATCAGCGACAAGGCGGGAGCTGATAGCTGGCAACTGGTACAAGCTCAACCTCTCTCTCTTTCTCTTTCTGTCAGTGCTCCCATTTTAACTCTTCTGTTATCTATCCACATTGTCATATCTCACAGTTCATAGCATATTATTAACAGTTTTTCAACAGTTTCTCACTATAACCCTATTTTTGATCCTTGTCTGTGCAGTTACGTTCATTTTCTCCCTCTCTTGGCAGGCGTCTCAGAAGGGCGACCCCTTGGCTGCTCTGAAAAAGCAGCTGGAGGAGAAGGAGAAGCTCCTGTCTGCTGAGCAGGAGAACGCGGCTGCAGCCAAGACACGCCTGCGAGACCTCACCAAGGTAGCACCTGCGCTGATGTCATTTCCTTACCTGTGCACCCAGCATATCAACACACATACACACAAATCAGATTGACCACACGATTCCAGTTTGAGAATGGATGTTTTGTCTGTCAGGAGCTGAGCACTGAGAAGAGTAAGCTGGCATCTGTGGAGACAAGGTTGAGTTCGGTGGTGAGCGCTCGTGAGCAGGAGATCGCTGCGCTGCACGCCCGCATGAAGGCCTCTTACGATGACCACACCCTCCAGACCCAGCAGCTCAACAGCAAGGTCAGAATTCAGAGAAATCACTGTGGTTTTCTGTGCCTTTATAAGACATATATGCGTTTCACTGCGACCTGTGGGGGTTCCCCCATAAACGATTTTATCAGCAATTTGAGTTTCTGTTTAATTTACAGTTTCATTCGATTACTCACAGTTTCTTGCTTACTTCTTCCTGCCTGTCTGTACTGAAGATGTGTGCTCTGTGATTTTCTGGATATATCGGTTTCAGACTGTGATTATTAGAGCTGAGCTTTCAATTTGGCCCATAAATGTCAAAACATTATGGAAAAAACCCACCTCTACTATGATGCTAGCTTCTGGAAGACATTCCATGTTTTACTTGAAGGTTGTGACAGACATGATCGCATATGTTTTGTCATATGTAGCAGTTTCACAGTGACACTTTCAATAGAGAGGTCTGGTATAGCGCTACTGCCGCTGTTTTGCATTTATACCAACACACTGATTAGACTGACACTTGCACTCACAGTCAGGAAACTGACCAGTCTGGCCAATTTTCCCCACGGCGTTTCAAGAGTTTAATCCTTTTACTTTCCATCCAGAGCTTAACAATGCAGTCTGAAGGCAAAGAAGGCCCTGATGCTTCCCCTCTGGTATATATATGAGGCTATGTTCAATTCTTATTAGATGCTAAGACTGGGATCCTAAAACTCAAGGCATTTGGGAATCGAGAGTCGACTCCAAACCTTTGGGCATGAAAAATGTCCTTCCATAGCACACATTTTCAAACAACATTGGCTTACAGTCATGCAGCGTCGCCAGCACTGAAACATCTACCCTTAAAGAAGCTTACAGAAACGAATCAAGTTAAGTTAGCTAGTGTTGGCTCTTCAAATTACCAGATCTGCTACTTAAACTTTGAAATTTCTGGAATTGAATGGCCCTGTTTAAACTTTCCTTCAGCTAAAGAAAATTACACAAACAGAAACCAAGACTGAAACACAGATGGTTGAAGAACAAGTTCAACTTACTTGTCAGCTTGTGTATATATATTACTTGTCTATATATTTCTTAGATAATGCCACGCTTGGCCACTAGGGGCAGTATAAAGTCTGGCATCCTTCAAAACCTAAATAAACATTTTGTGCCTCTTGTCCTAGTCCTCTGTGCCTCTTGGCTCTTTGGGGTATCATAGGAGTTTGCATGTTGAGCTGTGCAGATGTAGTTCATGAATGTGTGTGGTTCTTCTCACAGATCCAGAGCCTGCAGGAGCAGCTGGAGAACGGCCCCAACGCACAGCTGACCCGTCTGCAGCAGGAGAACACCATCCTCAGGGATGCCCTGAACCAGGCCACCAGCCAGGCTGAGAGCAGGTACACACAAGCAAAACAGTGTCTTATTAGTTACGTCACATTATAAGCCTTAATGCTGAATTCTAAGTGCCCTAGATCTGATTTGAAAAGATCAGATCTGTGTCGCTGTGTCCAGTCTAGGAGCACGTATGAAAGTGGCCCAGATATGATTGATCAGATTTGCATCCACACAGCTCTAAAAACACCAGGGACACATTCAGTTTCAAAACATTGTGCACTGTTTTGCTATGGTTGCCGGTTGAATGACATGTTCCGCTGAAGCAGTTCGATACAGTATGCAACAGGCTTGGTACGCTGACCGTTTGATGGGTGTGTCAGAGGTATTACCCAATCAGCAGCGACCTGTATATAAACCCCACCATATTAAAAAGGCATTGCACACAATGGATTCTAATAAAGTCTGTAATTGCGACCACTGCAGCTTGTTGTACACAGCAGTTGAAAACCTCAGTAGACGTTTGTCGTAAGTATTTTATCGAAAAATAATAGAATAAACTAGAAGGGCACCAAGAATGGCCTTCTCAGCTGCCATAGTTGCGCCGCTTGTGTAACACAAGTGTTTAATGCCCCACCCCTTTCCTTAATAAACGTTGTACTATGTACTATGAACGCAGCCCAGGTCTGTGTCACTGTGGATCTCATATGAAAGTGGCACAGGTCTGATTAGAAAAAGATTACATTTCTGTCCACATGGCACTGAAATCATCAGATTTATGTTGCGTTAAGGCATAAAAATAGATTTGTGCAACTCAAGCCTGGAAATGTGACACAGTGCGGTAGTTTGAGTTTGTATGGTTTGTCGCTCGTTTGTTCTGAGCCCTCCCCCTCACTGCGATTGGTCCACCAGTTTGCCTGCATCACTGCACAGAGCCTCTGGCGGTGCTGAATGTCAATTTTAAGTATATTCATGACAGAAGATTTGGCAGGATATCAGTTTTGTTGAGCTCTTTTGTCACTTGAGGTATATTACTGAACCAGGCCACCAGCATAGTTACACATAGGTACACAGACACATAGAGAAAAAGAGTCATTCACACACATGAACAAACAGGCAACCAGGCAGTTATAAAGCAGATATACAAATACGTGGACAGGCAGGCTGAGATTTGGCTAAATAGCAACAGGAAACTGAGCCTACGCTTGGCTCTTTAGCTTGGAGTACCTCAGATAGCTCCGCTCTCACCAACTCACACTCACGCGTTCTCTGTCATTCTGGCACCCTTTCAGGGCTAGTCTTTTGCTGGAGACCCAGACTGGAATGTCTGATTGTATCTTTAGTGTTGTTGTTTTCTGTCTCATTCCTGTATGAGTGCCCTAAGGCTGTGCTTTACAGCCTCTACCTGAACTAGCAAAGGCCGTTAGCAGTCCTCATTCACCCTTTCATGTACCCTCTTCTGTAATTGTCATTCCGTCTGGCTCTTTTGTCTTGTATCTTACAAGTACATGCGTTACACTCACAGGCAGAATGCGGAGCTGGCCAAGTTGCGGCAGGACTGTGTGCGCCTGAGCCGCGAACGCACCGAAGCCCAGCATGCCGAGGAGGAGCGCAGGAAGGCTCTGGAGACTAAAGTGGCCACTGCGGAAGAACAGCTGAACCAGGCAAAGGTAAGTGTCCCATTTTGAGGTCACCTCGATTCAGAACAAAAGCTGTGTCCATTGTGTAACGAACATTTATATCGTTCTACCGAACTGGTTCAAGATCAGTGTTGAAAACACAGTTTGGACTTTTAACTGACTCGGACTTCAGACTGAAATCCTTTTGCTTTGAGTGACCTCACGTAGTTTTGAATATTAGAACAAATGATTGAACAATCCATTTTGTCGTTATCAATACAATAATAAGACTATATAATGTGTTATAATTACACACTGATTTTCAGAGTTTGGGACACATTTATTTCAAAACAATAGGATGTAACTGGTCACCATGTGGCCATGAGGGATAGGGATAAAGTTTCGCTTCCTGCTCTAAAATGCAGGGGTGTGACTAAAATAAGCCTCTGCATGTGGACTAAAATCCTGTGTTTCGGTAGTGACTGAAAACAAGGGAAAGCAATTTTTGAAGGTTTTTATGCTCGTGGGTATATTTTGGTTTATCCATCTGAATTTATATGACCAAGTCGTAAGGCAAATTATTCAGTAACTGCATGAAATAAATGTAAATTTTTTTATTTTATTTATTTATTTTTTGTAAAAGTTCCCCTCAGATTAACAGAGAATGTGTTTTATGATCATTCACATATTTCTATACTCTTACAATTTACTGCTGAAAGCCAAAAATCGTAGATGCTCTTTGTATTTTTTTATAAAAATAATTTTTACAGTGCAGATCACTGAAGAGACGCCATCTGTTTATAGTTTATAGCCCAGATTTGTGGAAAAATGGATCAGTAGAAGAAAAAAATTGTTCAGCTTCTTTTATTATAAGGGTTTAAAATTACATTACCCATCTATTTGACTGGAAAGAAGACAGTTACAGCTCTCATATGACCCCCGCCTTTTGAATGTAGCTTATGAAATATGAAGAATATGACGAAGTGCGTTCTGAAACCACCAGTGGTTCCAAGGAGTTTAAAAGGTTAAAAATTTCAAGATAAAGTCAAGATAAATCACGATAAATCAAAATCTTTCAACTGAGAAGTGCTAAAATCAAATGTTTTCATAAGTTGAAATCGAGGGGTTAGGGTTTGGGACAGCCAACTTCCAATAGAAAATGCCCTATAAATGATGATTGTATGTATATATATCAGCTTATTACTACCTCGGTTAATGCCTTGAGTTTAAATAGATCGTGACACAATCCTTGTAGATATTGTTTTTTGAACTAATTAAGTAGAATGATCCATATACCATGAAACGTTCACACATTGTAAAGGGAAGTGCAGATTTGAAAACACTGGACACACTGGAGCTATGAGGAAGATGTAGCCATTGGCTTAGCACTGTGCACACTGCATGCCTAAATCATCAGACTTTCCTTGAACTGTGTCAAGTTAAAATTACAGACTTACTAAACTTACGGTTTACTGACACTGTATGACACAATGTTGTACAGTTATCTGTAAAAATTAATAGTACAGGCAAAACTCAGACTGCAAGAAGACTGCTGCTGTTTTTAGCTATGCTATGTGCTTTTTTTTATCATAGAAAACAGCATTTCATGCTGTCAGAAACCACATAAATAACAAAATATTAACATAGTGCGTCACTTTGTAGTAACAGGAAGTGATTCATTCTTAGTAGTACTTGTCAGTGTTTGTCATCAGACTGTGCCCTTGTAAGGTATGTGCTCAAAACCAGTTGGATTTAGTGTTTAGTAAACAGTAGCGACACAGCAAGGTTCTAGTTTTAGCTGGTGGTCTGGGTTTTTGTGTTGTCCCAAGAATCTGTTTTCTAGGAAAAAGAGACTCTCCAGGATAAACAACTGTCTGTGTGTGTGTGTGTGCATGCAGGCTGGTCGTGTGGAGGCTGAACAGGCTCTGCAGCAGAAGTTGGAGCAAGTCAAAGCAGAGTTGAGGCAGGTGCAGGACAATAGCACCACCCTACAGGCTCAACTGGAAAAAGCCCAACAGGAGGCCAGCAAGTTCACCGGTACATTTACTCTGATGTTTCATAAGCCAGATTTCTGACTATCATCGCTTCTAACTGTAGTCCTATTTGGACAGAATTCAGTTTACACTGAGTGCTGGGGTAATTTCCCTTTTACAGGTGCTCCGCTCTGATTTTATTGCCGTCCATCAGTGTTTTTCTCCCTCCTCCCCTGAGAAAATTACAGGCTTGATTACCTACTGGTTTTCTCCAAACTCAGCGGTGCTCGGACAAATTTAGTCCTGTCTGCGCACACATCTGTGTGGTTCTTGTGGATTTTCCAGGTCGACGTCACGCTGCGTTGAGATTTGACCAAAACAAAGCAGTCCACCAGAGAAGTGAGATACTGCAGGCTGAGTAAGGCTGGGCGTACAGTACACAACATTTAAAGTCTTATTTCTTATTTTGAGTTTCCTATGAATAGGAACTCAAAATCCCAAATCTCCTTGGATATCACAACACAAACAAAGCTAAATTTACTGGATTGGGATTGTTTGTGCTTTTATGTGTAGCGAAAGCGCAAACTGGGGTTGAGAAACACTGAAATTACAGTGGTCTCGTTAACATGCAGCCTAATAATCCGTTAATAGTCCGACTGATAGCTCAATCGGAACAGAATGCGTCCTTGTATACATCTCAGTCGGAATAGACTAATCTGAGGCCATTCAGAATACAATTTCTATTCGATTGAACGAGGTGGGTAATCCTGTAAATAATCCATTAAATAGAAGAATAATAGCCGTGTAAACGCCTGTATCTGATTACATTCCCAGTCGGAAACTTAAATCTGTTCTGTGCATGTGCGATTGCACCATGGTGAAAGTTTAGGACATTCAGCGTGGCGGGAGCAGGAACTGGTCTGCAGAGGAGACGAAGTTTATGCTTTGAGCTTTAAAAGACGGCGGTGGGACGGGCGTCCAGCTTATGTCTCAGAACATGCCGTCTTCCTCTCGCCGCTTCCTTAATACATGTGAAGTACATTTTTCTGCCATAATTTTAAAGCAATCAAAAACACAAGGGCACCATCTGAAAACTCATCTCGGACTGGACTCACGTGATGTTCGCTGTCTTACTCCACGCATGCGTGTCATTTTGGATCTGATTACTTATGGTGTGCATGTAAACAGAGATTTTCCATCAGATTGTTGAGTAGCGTGAACATATAAACACCTCAGTCTTAATCTGTAATCAGAATGTGTTCAGTTGGATTGGCAAAAATCTTTGCATGTAAACACAGCCAGTGAGAGATGGAGAAATATTTCACTGCAAACTGTCAGCTGAGCTGAAATCGTAAAGAGAGTGACCTGACGTCTGGATCCACACATTCTAAACATGATAACAGCTCTTACCTGCCTGTGTTTCACTCGCAGCTCCGCTCTCTGATTGGCTGTTGTTTGAATCACTTGCTGAAGGCCTCTGATCACTTCAGAGCTCGATCGGCTGAAGATTCACTGACGTGATTTGTCACGATAACGATATATTGTCGTATTGCCCAACTGTAGCTGAGACTACCCTCAGTATAAGGATCGCTTTGTTTGTATGCAAACTTGACCCAGCTGATTTTTATAGACAGACTTAAGGCAGAGTATGAAATTGTTGCTTCTGTTGACGATTGTTATTTGCAACCTTTGGCAAGGTTTTTGTATATTATTATAGATATCATGTAATCCTGTCAGTATTGTGTGAGGAACCTTCCCTCTTTTGCGTGTGTGTTTTTAGAGCTGCAGGAGCGTGCATGTGGTACAGAAACGGAGCTGAAAGCCAGATGTGCAGAGGTGGAGGCTTTGAAAGCACAGCTTGCTCAGGAGGCCCCAGTACAGGCTGAGACACAGGTACTCCTCTAAAAGAGTTATTCAGTTAAAAACGAACACTTTGCAACTTTGAAACAACAAAAATTGAATCTAGCAATGTGTTTTCGCACAGGTGGATAAGTCGGCGGAAGTGGAGCAGCTGAAGAGCAGGTACGGGAGACTCAATCATTTAAAGTAAAATTTCACAGTTTTCAAATCTATGGCTCATTCTCCATTTGGAGTGGGAAACCATCTCACAAAGGTTGCAGGGCTTAAAAAGATGCTTAATATGCTTAAAATATTAGGCACAGTTCCAAACGTCGGTATGTACATTTACACAGTTGACCTAAGAGTAAATAATACTTTTACTTTATGATTGATTTTTCTTTTTTATCCTGTTTCACAGTCGCTCTGCATCTGTAAAACCAATTTTCAACCATTTTAATTAAAATGCTTTTAAGAGGTTGCACTTTTTTGCCAGATGTAATGCAAATTACACTGTTTCTTCATCTTGCCTTCTTTCATTTGGGATTACACAGAGTACATTTACATGCACTTAATAGTCCGATAACTGCAGGAAATCCGATTTTGTCAGTAATCCGATCAACGTGTTTACATGCACTTGGGTAATCAGATAATGGGAAACTCCAGGTCTACGTGAATCAGGCGGTAATCAGATGTCTGCATTGCAGCCAGCCAGTAAACTCACAGAAGAAGACGTGATTTATAAACAGAATGCGAATATGAACATACACCATCTAGAAGATGAAGAATATTTCAATCATTAATTTCATCAGACATGTATTTGGTTTCAGCGTCGCTCTGAAAGTGTTTTGCTGTGTCTTGTGGCATCGCTGCTCGCTTATTTCCAGTACCGTCATGTTTTCGCACATGCTCGGACTGAGAAATCCTAAAGAAATCAGAGTAAGAGTTTACATGCCCTGAGAAATCCTTATCGGATTGCTTAATCGTATTTCCAGACCTGCTAGATCTAAGAAATCGGAGAGTGCTGTTTACTTGACCATTTGAATAATCAGATAACTGCAGAAATCTGGTTATGATCAGATTATTGAGTGCATGTAAACACACCCAGTGTTTCTCAAACCAGTCAGACGGTCCACATTTTGGCTTGGTCCTTCAATTGAGGGCGAGAGTTACACAGTGCACATGCTTAACTGTTGTAATGACAGTTAAATTAAATTGAATTGAGAGAGTCTGAGAGGTAAGTGCTGTAGCAGACAAGCAGACGTGGACCTTCTTGGGGGCCCTGAGGGACAGTTTGAGAACCACTGCATTATCAGTATTTCTGGACTGAGTGAGTTCAGTGTTGATGAATCATTTTCTTTTCTCCTTTTAGTTTGACAGAGAGGGAGGGGCAGGTCAGCACACTAGAAGCGGAGCTCAAGCAGCTGAAGGAGGAGCTTGAAACAGTGAAGAGTGCACATCCAGAACCCTCCGCCAGCAGGTGTGACAGCTGTCACGTACATGTTCGTTGGATTGTTGTGCTGGAGTTGCTAATAGTAATTTATTGCCAGTAGCTGCCAGTTAGCGTAACCCTGTGTACTAATTAGGCAGCTACTTACAGCAGTTTAGTACTAACAGCACAAGCATTATGGGCTAAAGTGATCCTGTAAGCTGTTCTTTAACGGTTCCTGATGTTTTTCAGTGAAGCAGAGAAGAACGCTCAGACTGCAGAGATTCAGCAGTTACAGAGCAGGTATCTCTCTCTCTCTCTCTCTTTGCCTCTCTCCCTCTTTGCCTCTCTCCCTCTCTCTGCCACTCTTGCCCTGACTCTCTCTCAATCTCTTCGCCTCTCTCTCTCTCTCTGCCACTCTTGCCCTGACTCTCTCTCAATCTTTTTGCCTCTCTCTCTCTCTCTCTCTCTCTGCCACTCTTGCCCTGACTCTCTCTGTCTCTTTGTCTATCACTCTCTCTTTGTTACTTGTCATTCTGTCACTCTTTCTCTTTATACATCTCTCTATCTCTTCACTCTTTTTCTGTCTCTTTTCTTTCTCTGTCTCTAGCTCTCTCTCTCTCTCTCTCTCTCTCTCTCTCTCTCTCTCTCTCTCTCTCTCTTTCACTCATCCTTTTTGCTCACACTGTCTATTTTTTCCCTCTCTTTGTACCTGTCTCTCACTCTCATTCTCTTTCTTATCACTCTTTCTGTCTCTCTTGCTCTCTCTCACTGTCACTTTCTTTTTTCTTTCTTTCTTTCTCTCTCTCACATTTTTTTGCTCACTCTTTCTTTCTCCTTTTTTCCCCCTTCTCTTGCCCTCTTTCACTGTCAGACTTTTTTTCTTCTCTCTCTCTGTCTCTCCCACTCTTCCCCTCTCCCCCCTTCCTATTGGCACAACTGTTTTGGTGACTCTTCCAAACTCACCCCAACTTGGATCCACAGTAATCCAGTAACTCACTGAATATTAATTGTAAGTGGCATTTCTCTTTATCCTCTCTCTCTCTCTCTCTCTCTCTCTCTCTCTCTCTCTCTCTCTCTCTCTCTCTCTCTCTCTCTCTCTCTCTCTCTCTCTGACAGCCTGAAGGAGAAAGAGGGTTTGCTGGTGTCTTTACAAGAACAACTAGACAGTATGAAAGCCAGTGTGAATGAGGTATTGGATTTCTCCCATCATTTTTTTTTTTCTATTTTGTTTGTTTCAAGTTTGCAATTAAGTTTGACCTGCTACTGAAATGTGTGAATGGATGTGCAGTGGTTTAGAGTCCTGATCCCTGGGAGACACTCCGTTCACCACATTTACTCTTCATGTGGAAACAGTGAACCTGTGCTAGACTGGGGTTTGGATTATATAATAACACACTCAATCTGTGTGTTTCAGTCTCAGAGCTCAGTGCAGCAGCTGCAGGGCAGCCTGGCTGAGAAAGAGAGCTGTGTATCAGCGCTGGAGGAAGAGCTGAAGCAGCTGAGAGAAGAGAAGGAGCAGCGGGAAGCTGCAGTAAGTCCCTGCTCCCTTCCCCTCGACTCTTCTTCAATAGAACGTTTACTCATAGTAAAAGCTACAGTTTGAAATGTGATTTGTAGGACAGAGTAGGTAGTTTTACAGATATTTGTTTTTTTTACACCAGAAACCTGCATATAATCACTGTCTTGTATCTTAAATTGTGTGCGTATATAGGAAATGGAACAAAAATCTTCTAAACTTATAATGGAAACTAATGTAAAAGTAATACCGTTTCTATTGGTCCATTCATCATGAAATTTTTTGCACAATGTAAAGGGCAGCTGGTGTTTTCAAATTATGTGAAAAAGTAAAAAACAACAAAAGTTGAGATGCAAGATTTTGCTCTGACAGCAACAGTATCTTTGCTTTAGATGAAAATATAAACTTCTGTTATTTACAATACACCTGAAAGCAGAGTAAGTGCAAATGTTACAACTTGCTCCATAGGTGGGGTCAGTTGTAACAGCGACTTAAATTGATGCAGACATAATTAATTCAGCACAGTTCTATGTTTTGTAAACCAGATAAGCTTTCTAACCTAAATACGTGAAAATATATGTAACACTGGATTGCAGCAAACTCCACATAGAGCCTACAGGCTGCACTTCAGGCAGGCTAGCTCGGGCTGTGAGTTGTTTACATGATTCGAAATGCTATGCAACAGCATAATAGAGTAAGAAAAAAAAACTAATAGAGCAAATAAAATAATGCAGGTTTGAATTTTGTAAGCTATACACCAAAATCACTAACAAAAAACGTCATAGATTGCTGTCAGAATTTGTAGATGAACTTGCAGTGGTAAATACAAGTTAAGTTATCCCTGTTAGTCCCACAACGGGCAAATTTCACCTCCACATTTAACCCATCCGTGCAGTGAAACACCAACATACACACTAGTGAACACACACACGAGGGGGCAGTGAGCACATTTGCCCGGAGCGGTGGGCAGCCCTATCCACGGCACCCAGGGAGCAGCTGGGGGTTAGGTGCTTTGCTCAAGGGCGCTTTAGACACGTACCATCAGCTCAGGGGATCGAACCTGTGACCTTCTGGTCACAAGGCTTGTTCCCTAACCTCCAGCCCACGACTGCCCCCTAAAGCTTTGAACTCCTGGCAAGGCAGCATGGTCTCCCATCCAGTCTCTGACCAGGACCAGCCTTGATTAGCTTCATAAACGAGTCAAGCCTAAGGGTTCCTAGCCCTAATACTAATACAGTGACCAAAAGCATGCTGTGTGCCTACATAAAGTATCTTCTGTTTCTGCAGGCGGAGATCGCAGAGGCCGAGCAGCCGTTCGAGAAGTAAGCGTCTCGTTTTACAAATGTTTTATTTGTGAATCTTCCAGTAAAAACATTTTTTTTAAAAAAAAAATCCTGTTTTTCTCTTCTTTGCCAGCTTGGAGAAGGATGCTCGGTTAATTTCTCTGGAGGAGGAGCTCCAACAGCTAAGAGAGGAAATGGAGCAGACAAAAACAAAGAGCAACGTGAGTTTATGTGTTGTGACGTGCCAAACACAGATCAACAGTGTAAGCGTTATACAATGCAAAAAGTAACCAAACCCACAAATACTGAAGAACACCAAATGTGTGAAATTCATTCGTCCATTTATCTGTGCACATTCATTAACACGTTTGTAGGAGCTTCGGGAAAAGAACTACGCTGCTGTGGAGGCTCTGGCTGCAGCCGAGAGACTAAGCGAAGAGAGACTGAACCAGGCCAGGAACGCACAGGTACACGCCGCACACACAAACCTGCCTCAATCTTTGTACAGTGCTTTGCACATATTCACCCTCCTCTAAAAGCGTATGATTGTCACAGCATATAGAGGCACCTTTCATGCCTTTATATTAAATCTTACTTACTGTAAATTGTAATGTTTCGGACATGAAAGCTCAAAGCTAATTGTTTTGTGTCTGTATGTGTGTAGAGTGAGACTGAACAGAAGCTGAAATCTCTCCAGATAGAGACCAGAAATGCCCTCCAGACTATCTTCCCCCACGTCACAGTGGAAACAGAACAGGTGGGAGACCTTTTCACACATTAGCATTAACATCAGCTAAGCAACAGTTCAGCAACAGTGAAGTAAAACACATGCACAGTTTCCTACCTGCTCAGTGTCTGAGTTATAGTAATGACTGGGTGTTTAGGGATTGTGAGTATTTGAGAATGTATTAATACAAATAGTAATTAAGGAAGATTGATGATGATGATGATGATGATGATCAATAATAGTTAGAAAATAGTCATTACTGGTCATTTTCTTAATTCATTGTTTAAAATTTCTCTCATTGCAACTGCATTAATTGTAAAAGGGAATAGGGCATCATGTTATTTGCATTTAAATTTTTGAATGATTGAATGAGTTATGATTTATTCACCAAAACAAACACAAACATTTGTTTAAACCAATGTTTGCGATATTTAAACACATACAAATGCTAGAGCTGCGCAATATGGGAAAAATAACGTCATGATACATAAAAACTGAGCTGTCATAGTAGTGCAACATTCTGAAAATACTATCAAAAGTTATGAATAAAGTGATTTCAACATTGAACTACTGAACTACACTAAATATGGTAATGTGGTTATGCTGTTTTTGCAATCAAATGTGTGGGTTTTAAAGTGTTTTTGAAGGTCAGGAAGTTGCCGTGAACCCAAACAAAGCTGTGTGTGTCTGTGTGTATATATATATATATATATATATATATATATATATATATATATATATATATATATATAGCTTGAATTGCTGAATCAGTTCACAATTTAGTGTATCGGATCGTTCTGAATTTACAAAGATCACCTTTGAGTCCAATGAGAAACCAATGAATCGATTCACCATCAGCTCAAACATTCAGACTCTGAGTATTATTAATTAGCAGTGAATAAACACACAGGGATTAGAAATAGCGACCAAAAGGAAAACCAATCTTTTTTTTTCCATTCATGCCTCTCAGAAATAATTTCCTGTTATGATGAATCATATTGTGTGTGCTGTTTTGCGTGTGTGTACAGAGTAACTGGTTGGAGGCGTTCACACTGAAAGCAAAGGAGACGCTCTCAAACGGCCAGCAGGAACTGACTGAGGAGCGGAACACTGAGACTAATGCACAGCTAACCGTAAGGAAAACACACACAAACACACATCGAGTACAGTCCTGCAGCTGGTGGTCCTGAGAGAGCACACTGAGTGGGGTCTGTTCTTGTTTGTTTCAGGACGCACTGCAGAAGCTGAGGGAGGCTGAGGAGAGTCAGAGCGCACTGCAGGCCCAGTGTGACCAGTACAGAACCACTCTCAGTGAAACAGTAAGAGACGCCTACATACGCTTACTCATTTCCTCTATCTCTGTCATGCCCCGTAACTAGAGATGAAACGGTTACTGGTTTCACGGTAAACCGCGGTAAAATTAATGACGGTTAGTAGTACCGTTTGAACTTTAAAGTATCGTTAAAACCGCGGTCGATTACCGTGGTGTGAAAAACTCGGAGATTCGGAGATATTTCAGCCTTCTAAGAAGACCAAGTCTGACATTTGGTCATATTTTGGGTTTTATAAGAATGCAGAAGGAAAGCTAATTGAAGATGACCACGCTGTCTGCAGAACAGGCCGAAAGAAAATAGCGGTGAAAGGGGGCAACACATCAAACCTTACGAGTCGCGACCACCCCCTGCTACTTTTTAGAGAATGCAAGGTTAACTTTAACGGAGAAGTCTGTGGACTTCGAAATAGCAGAAATGTCACGGTTTGTGTGGTTTAACTTATGTTTATGGTTCGTTAATAATATAAAATAAAGCTTTTAGCGTCAAAAAAAAAACAAAAAAAAAAACAGTGAATCAGCTGTGAATCGAAACTAAAGCTTTTAACACATTTCTGTGGAGCAGAGTCTCCAAAATGAGCTCTAAGTTAACAGTCACAGAAGCTCTGGAACGAGACGCTGCAGAGGTTCAATCTGCACAGCTCCCCTTTCTCGTCTCGCTTGCAGTGTTTACTGTCTGAGAAGAGAATAACACCGTCTCAAATCACTGAGTGTCCCCTACATAGGGCACTACTGTTCAAACAAACACGATCATCATTAACAAGCAGCTGAGTTTTAAATAGGGAATTAGTAAGCTGTTGTTAATGTCGAACATTTCATGCACTCTTTGGGTGAAGGATTTGCTATTTCATGATCCACAAAGTGCACTACATGGTGAAGATAGTGTGCTTTGAGACGGGACCTCACGTGAGTAAACGATGTGTGCTGCTTTTAGGAAAAGCAGAGTTTCAGGGATTAAACTTTAGGAGTGTTTCTGCCGCAGCTCAGATGTGTGTTAATTTTAAATTATATTTTAGTTTTAAAATGCTTTTAGAGAAGCAGCTCCACAGGTGAAGACACACTGTGTGTCTACACTGTCTGCAGCTCACAGTGCGGTCACGCAGTGGCTGTTTTTCCTGGTGCACTGTGTTGATTAGGGGTTCAGCGCCACAACGGCACAATAATGCTGCAGTTGCAGTTCGGACAGAAATCCCCCGAGTGCAACACTTCTTAGAAGTAGTAATTTTCCATTAAGACCCACCTCAGAGTTGATCGAGATTTAATTCTCTATGCAGGGAAATCCCTAGTTATTGTAATTAATAATAATAATAATAATAACAGTAATAATAATAATAACAGTAATAATAATACATTTGCTGTTCTTTTGTTTACAGAGTATTACAAGTATTGTAATACAAAAGTAATACTACAAATGTATTGACTATTTTTTAATGTTTATGCAAACAAAAAGTGCATATTGCTGCCAATTCTATTTGTGTTAATATAAAAGTTGGTGAAACGAGTTTCAGTTTGTGTATCAGTATTTATTTTTTTTATTTATTTGACTTTTCAACACATTTGAACAATATCGCTGTAATACCGATAATCGTGATAATTTTGGTCATGATAATCGTGATATGAAATTAATATTGTTTCATCTCTACCCGTAACTCACGGGCTTACTCACTGCCTCTCCCTGCATCTCTGTAGGAGGGCATACTGAAGGATCTGCAGAGCAGTGTGGAGGAAAGAGAGCAAGCATGGAAGGCAAAGGTCTCAGAGGCTGAGGAGCAGCATCAAGCGGTAAACGCCCTTGCACACAGACACACTGAGGCTGCCCATAGTAATCTGTGTGGTGGTAAAAGCTCACTGTGTTGCTGCGTGAGTTATTTTTAAGAATGGATAAGGACAGTGTTTCAGTTCTTTATTCTTTATGCTAAGTAGTACTACTACCGCCACCATGTTTCATTACTAGAGTAAGGTGCTGTCCCAGTTGACAGCTGCTTACAGCATTGAAGTAGTCAAGAAGTCGTAATTTACCATAGTTAAAGATAAAAAAAATAAAATCAAATAAAAAAAAATAATAAAAGGACCATGTTCCAATACTTTATTCATGGCTTGCTACTAGCAGATAACGGGGAGCTTTGTTTTGAGACAGTTATGCAAAGCCAAGGTACGGACACAACTTGACAGGGTGGAATTCTCTAACAAAATATGATTGGGTTTCATGTTCAGCAGAAAAGATATATTTGAGAATCGTCCTCCTGCATGCTAAGTAGCGCTACTACCACCACCATGTTTCATTACTAAAATAAGGCACTCTGTTGACAGCTGCCTACGACACCAACTAATGGATGTATTGGTCAGCTAGTCTAATAATCTATACCTCTCTGTTTAATACTATTTGTCAGTCTAACTGATGTCATGCTTTTTGTTATCAGGAGTGTTTTAGAGCTGCTCATGACTCCCTTGCGCTCTAAAGCTCTGTGGTCACAGTCACTGTTAGTTCATGTTTGAGTTACATCTGACTTGCGTTTTAGGTTTTGTGGTCAGAGAAGTCTGTCTGTTGTAGCTCCACCCTGTCCACTTCCTTTTTCCCTGTCCACTCAGCAATTGCATGATATCAGAATAAATTAAGTACTTGTTGGAATGTAACAGCAGTCAGTGATTTGTGTTCTACTTGCTTTCAAAATGTGGCAACGCGAGTCTCGTAGCTGTAACCCAGCTGTGGTAAACTGTTAAAGGGGCTTTAAAAATGTTTCTCAGCGTCGCTCATTTGACACAATTTATGGTTTTATATCCTTTTTGTGCAATACCCAGCATGCATCACACACATACGTAACACTGCTAGGGGCATTGAGGACCACTGTTGTAGTTAAACAACGAAAGACATGGACCACCTCATGGTAGTGGCTGCTGTGTTTTTGTCTGAAGTTGATATCTTTGATTTCTCTGGACTGTCGTAACTGCTATGACAGCTTATGTCACAAATGGCAATCAAAGGGGGCCAAGCACTTCACAATGTTTTGGAGCTAGTAGAACACAAAATAATTATGAACTGCTCTTAAATGAGTGTTTATTTCCCCTGCAGCTGAAGGGGCAGGTGATGCTGCTAGAGGCACAGCTCGAGAAACAGCTGGAGTCCTTCAGCTTTAGCCAGACATGCGCTGAGGAGGTGGAGCAGGTAAACCCTTTGAGCCCTGCGGCACTTTAAGAGCACATCGTTACATGATTGTAGTCAATAAATGTAATTTCTTTGTTTCGTTTTCTCTCTCATTCTCTCTCTCTCTCTCAGCTAAAGGCATTGTTATCAGCCACTCAGAGTCAGCTGGAGTCTGCCCAATCAGAAGCTCAGAAACAGAGTGCTGAACTCTTATTGGTAGGTGTAACTTAAACAGGCATCATGCTAAAACTAACTAAAGGTTACAGCAAACTGGTAACACTGTAATCAGGTTAGCTACCAAACTACAGCAGTAATGATTCCTGATTTGAATTATTAATTAGTTTTAAAGTCAGCCTTTATACACGGTCTTATTTGTTATTTATTGTTATTGTTGTTTTTTATTATTAAGGAAACTACAGTTCCCAAATTTCTATAGCAGTGCTTTTGAAAAGCAGAAGAGGGACCTCTGCATGAGGTCATTACTGGAGGTGGGGTTTGTGTTTGAGTGACTGCTGTATATTGCAGGTCAGGCAGCAGTTGCAGGAGGCGACTGAGCGAGTGCAGACCAAGGAGGAGACACAGCCCGGCCAGGTCAGGCTGACGAACAGCCCTGTGTGTGCTGAACGAGACCATGGCTTTCCTAACTCTTTCTGTTCGCAGTAGTCCATTTCCTTCATCTGGCTCTTACCTGCTATGTCAGCTTCACTGCCTGCTATATACAACTTGCATGGACAAAACAGTTTTTAGAACTTGCCTTTGCTGATTTGACTCCAGCTGTGCTTTAGAGTGCTTGTGCTGCAGGAGGGAGTTGTAACTAATGCCATGTGTTTGGTTCTGGATGTTTCAGTTGCATTTACTGGCCTGACATCAGCTGCCTGCTACTAACCTCACGTTTACTCTTAAAAGCATTGTTTTTTTTGCCTCTAACCTTGGCTTGCTTTATACATCCGTGCAGTTCAGCCCATCTATCCTGCTTCTGTGGTGCAGATCTGCTCTCTGCTGTAATGTAGAATTACCTTGCATTTGACCTATAATCTCCTTTGGCAGGTACAGACGCAGCTGGAGCAAACAGAAGGCCGCCTGCAGACAGAGGAGGGCGTCCGCCTGCAGCTGGAACACAGCTACGAGCAGGTAACCATGATGACATAAACACGGGTCCATCAGTTACGTCCAGGTCTACACTGCTGGACTGATGGCACTAATTAAGATCAGTAAGACCTGCACAGAGTAAAATATTTTAATTTTAAATAGTGACCTGATTTAATACTATACATGTTTTGCTGGCCAAATAAGATATAATTTATTAGAAACTTTTCCTGCCAGTAGCTCACATTAGCTAGGTTTCCATCCATGTATTTTCTGTGTATTTTGGTATATTTAACAAGACTGGATGGGAATGGCAAATATCAAATAAACCTGCCACAGTTGTATGTTCATTTTAGATGGATACATTTGTTTTTTGTGGATTAAAAAAATCAGTTTGCTAGATATACAATATAAATGGTGACAAAAGTTGTATGACTGATCAGTTGTTTTCGTTTTGCCCAGTTGTAGCTGCAGAAGGCAGCAGGTCACAGTTAAACTAATGAAGAAATTAAAATGTGACTTTGTCTTATCGGGAAAAAAACATGATATTAGACAGTTAATGGACATAGGATGCCTGATGCTGCTCAATGGATGTTTCCTGAGCCAATATTTTAGCCAGTGTGTTCTGTTTCTGCACTCTTAACGCCAATGAGAAGTTTCTCAACATAAAGGAAGTGGTTTTATGAATTCTGAATTATTTTGTTTGCCTGTCCGAAAATGTGTACATGCATTTATTTTAAAGAAAGACAACTTTTTTTTTTTCCCCAAACTGAACAAAATATTTAAGTTACAGTATCATTGGAGTAACAGTGTTAGTGAAGTCTGTGTGAAACCTTAAAGGTAGGGCTTGATTTTAGGTGGCACGTAAGAGGAAGCCATCCCCCCAGTCAAAAAAAGACCTACAACCATCCACCCCTGTCAGGTTTTTTATATTAACGTATTATCACCTAATGTCTATTATCAGAATTTTCATTCATCCGTATGTGAGATTTACAAGGTGGGTTGCTTTGGATATTTCATGTTCTCTCTTCATGCCAAACAAACTACAGTTGAGTAAATGCACACATAAATGAGTCTGTTCATTGCTTATAGGTTTAGTAATACATAACTGTGCTCGTTCTCTCTCTCAGGCGCAGAAATGCATCAGGGATCTGGAGACTCAGTTGGAGGAGCTGAAGGCAGCAGGAGAGGGATCCACCACAGAGCTAAAGGTTTCTACCACACAACTACTGTCACCATACTTTCCACATTAACCTGCAGAGTGGCAGTCTCACTGTGTGCGTCTGTTATTCAGGAGAGGCTGGAGAAGGAGGTGAAGTTGACGCAGGATCTCAACGAGGCGGCCGTTAAGCTCCAGCAGCTGCTGAGGAACACCCAGCAGGACCTGATCAAAGAGAGGGAAGCAGTGAAGAACCTTCAGGAAAAGCTACAGGACAAGGTGAAGTATGGTCTTCTGCACCACTCTACTAGACCACTCTACTGCCTCTGTGGCCTCTCTGTCGGCACTGTAAAGCAGCACCATCAGTGCTTATCATCTTTGAGATGTAGATGATTTTGAAATGACTGAAAAGCCGCATAGCATTGAGAAAGAAGTTAAAAAATTATATTTACAGTGCCTCATTTCAAAAATGGTGATCCCTTAAGACAGGACTATAAATAGACTGCAGTGTATTATTTCTCGTTTATCAACTTGTTGCTCCAAAAATACCTGAAATATTGAACAAAACATTGAAAACATGGCATTTTGGTGTTTAGTTTACAATATTTAAATCCATGTTGCACAAAATATTTTACGTAATTATCTGTATGACAGGTGATTCCGAACTTTTGAACAGTATTGTATTTCAGTGGTTCTCGGTCCTGGTCATGGATATTTCCTACCACTGCCCTGTATATTTCCTGCAGTAACAAACCTAGTTCACCTCAGGAGGGGCTTGTTAATTAGTTCATTAGTTGCATCAAGTGTGTTGAAGTAGAGGAAACAGTCCAGTTTCCAGTGCCGCAACATAAAGAACTTCCCTAGGCCAGAGATCGACAACCTAAATGTTAAGAAGAGCCATTTTGTCCTTTCAACAAAAATCCAACAACCTTGGGCGCCACAACATTGTCCATTGTCCATTTTACCGTCTTAGCTGTAAATATGTCTCAGTATGTGCTGATGTACTAGTATGAGCTAATAATATAATTAAAAACACTGACTCACTTTGCTCTGCTTTAAGCTTCAGCTCAGCTATAAACACTTTTCACGCATCTCCAGCAGGAAACTTTTCCGCATAAGTGCAACAGTTTCTTGTAAAACATCTCTTAACATTTGACTTTTTACGAGACTGAATTTAGCTTCTCATTCTCCAGCTTCTTCTTTGAATTTTCCCGTTCCTCCTTGTGGAATGTGGAATTCGAACCAGAAGCTGGTGAATGAGAAACTGACTTCAGCGTCGTGACTTTTTATTGTTTGTCAGTTTCTCTCTGCAGATTAAACGTATCAGGAAACCAGCTGAAGTGCTTAGAAGCGCAAAGAAGTCCATTTGTCTCAAAGTTATCGATGTTTATCTTAAATCTTTTGTCTCTTAGCCATTAGCTAGGCGATATTGTTGTCTGTGTTGCTATGATGACCAGCTGTCCGTGCGCCAGCCTGCAGGGTTAAAGGGTGAATTAGCTGATATAGGCTATATTAAATCCAGCCTTTAAGGCCATTCATTGTTAAAACTGTGTTGAACGATCAGCAGAGCTTTACTTTACTGAAAAGGAGGATAATTTTATTTTTTACCTATAAATCTAATTCTGCTGTGGAGCCGCAACAGGGCAGTGGAAGAGCCGCATGTTGCCGACCCCTGTAGAGACCTTTGGCCAGCTGCCCAATCAGACTCCTCCACTGTGATGTAAAGACTCTCAGCCAGTGGCCCAGCCAAGCTCCTCCTCAGCAGTGTAAACGCTCTCAGCCAGCAGCCCAGTCAGACTGCTTCCCTGAGACTGTAGGCCAGCGCACTAGTCAAACTCCCCCTGGCAGTGTCAAGACGCTTGGCCACCAGCCCATTTAAATTCCTCCACGGCAATGTAAAGAGACTGCCAAGTAAAACGTAGCCACCATGGTGGAAAGCCCTCCAGCCAGTGGCCCAAACTCCAAACTCCTTCGCTGTGGTGCTGTCTTTTGGTCGTTTTTCAGTCAACGGTGGAAAAGTCCCTGGCTGAAATGCACACAGCGTTCTCAGACCAGGCGTGACTACATGCATGCACACTTCTCCACAGAATTGTAAAAGAAAGATTGCACTAAATGTAGTCGTCATTGTCAGGATTTGAATATTCACTGTATTTGGCTACAGAAGCACCATCCTAAGTTAAAAACCACTATAGCACTAAAGTGTAGCTGCTGATACCACAAGCCACAGTCTGAGATGGCAAAGATTAAAGCCCAATCTTACCATCTGTACACTGAACCACTGCGGCGCTACTCTCTTTCTTTAAGCTGTATGCATTCTGCAAACACAAACGCGGAGAAGTCAGAGTCAGACAGAAGCTCTGTGTGTGCAGGGGTGGTTCTGTGGTGCTGTGTACTCTGTCAGGCAGTAGTTTGCTGCTATATTTAACAGCACACAGTGAGCTCCTTATTCCTAGTGCTGTTTGTGTAGGCCTGTGTGAGGGGCAGGCTGTACTGGGCAGTGAGCAGTGAAATAATGGATGTATCTGTGTTTATAGACAGAATTGAGGCGGGATTTTGACTCACACTGTGTCAAGTTGTGAAGTAATCTCTGAAGTCTGCTTCTTTAGTTTTGTACTGGATGAGTAATGGAAGTTTATACCCCACCAGTTCAGTAAGTGCTGTGGCTTCTGAAACCACATAAGCAACCACGTTAACAGCTCGAGCTCTGAGTCGAGCGTGTGGTGATGTAGGCCTGCTGCTTACAGAGTGCTAACTGGTGGGGTACTTGTTAGCTGGGGTACTACTTGGGGTACTTGTTAGCTGCATTAGCCTTGTAGCTCCAGTGTAAAGCTAAAAATGAGACCTTCAGACATCAAACATGTCTTGGCTAATTGACATGATATGCAAAGGACATTCAGTCTGTTGGCTGAAGTGTTGCTTTAATACAGGAGTGTAACTCTGTGTGTGTGTGTGTGTGTGTGTGTTCTTGTATTGTTATACTTGTGAGGACCCCATGTCCTCACTATGATAAGACTTTATGAAATTTTTGCTCAAGTGAGGACATTTTGCTGGTCATGTGTTGTTTTCACCACAATTACTTTTTTATTTGAAAACTAAAAGAGCAGAAAAATTGCCTTTTGGATACTGAGGTTAAGGTTAGGGTTAGGTTTAGGTGTAGTATTATTTAGCTACAGTAACACAAAAATCAGTAGAAGCCTATGGACGTCCTCGTATGTATAGCAAGGCGCGTGCACCTGTGTGTGTATATGTTCTTTACTTTTGATGTAAGTCAATGGAAAGAGATTTTTAGCAATTTTAAGCAATTTTGGTATATTTTTATTTGTCCAGCATGGTGGGGGTTTCTAATAAAGTGGCTGATGAGTGCAGCATAATTAACAGTGTGAAATGGGGTGTTGACCATCATTTTCTTCCTTCCTTTGCAGGAAGGAGAGGAGCTGAAAGAAGGAACCTCCGTGTGACGTCACAGCAAGAAGGAGGACGAATCAAAACTACCAAACTACCAAAAATGCCTTAATTCTTATGTTCTTGTCCTTATAATCTCTCATGTACTGTAGTGGAAACTGCATGAATGAGGAGGAATTGAAAGGGAGGGGTGTGTCATGTGGGTCCAAAGGGAAGGGAGCAACAGCGATGGATTATGTCCAAGTTGATGTCTTTTGTTTTTTGTTCAAAACTCTTCACATTCCTACAACTTTCAGCGCTCAGTGTTATAAAAAAGGGCAAAGCGCTCGTGCATTAAAACACGCGCCGGTGTGCAATCACTTATTTTTGTTTTGCAAGGACCATCCTTAACGTGGACGCGAAAAAAGAGAAGGAACATTTTGCGTTAAGGTGACTCCTCGCAGGCCTTACACTTATTTGTACTTGGCTGCTGACCAAATGTGACTTAAAATTAAATAAAAACATTTAAGGGATTGTCTGTCGCCTTCATTTCTTTCTTCAGGTGCCGTAGTCGACATTCTCTGTATGACGAGCATTGTAGGCCTCCATCTGTATGGTTGTGGTTCTTGAAGAGCTGTGTTGGCTTCTTTCTCTTTCAGATCTGCCTTCTGAGCAGACATAATAGACTATGTGGCCAAAAGTAAGTGGACACTTGACCATCATGCCTGTATGAGCATGTTATATTCCAAAATCATGGGCTTTAATATAGAGTTGTCCCCATTTTTGTAGCTAAAACAAGTCTCCACTCTTCTGGAAAGACTTTCTACAAGATTTTGGAGTGTGTCTGTGGGCATTTTGCCCGTTCAGTCAACAGAGCATTTGTAAGGTCATGTATAATCAATGTTCCAGTTCTTTTTAAAGGTGTTCAGCGGGGTTGAGGTCAGGACTCTGCAGGCCGCTGGAGTTCCTTCACATGAAACTCGTCAAACTGTCTTCGCTTTGCATACAGGGGCATAGTCATTCTGGAACAGTGAAGGGTCTTCCCCAAATTGGCCGCAAAGAAGCGTATGAATGTGTAAAGTGTCTTTGTATGCTGTAGCATTAACATCTGGATCGAAGGGGCCCAAACCCTGAAAAACAGCCCCAGCTTATTATCCCCCCCCCTCAACCAAACTTTACTGTTGGCACTGTGCAGTCCGGTATGTAGTGTTCTCCTAGAATCCACCAGCAATGCGTATGGCTTGAAATGCCTGAACTCAGTCATTAAGAGGGGTGTCCACATACTTTTGACCATATGGTGTATATCAGACTGTCACATATTTTATTTTGGCGTTTAAAGAGTCACACTTGCACAATACTAAATGTGTTCCGCATTGATAGCACCAAAAAAAAAGAACACTCTGCAGGTTCATTCAGAACAATTATGAATGATAAATTTCAAGAGAACTTCCAACTGCACTTAAAATTAAGCACAGTCATGTTTCCTGAGGAAGCAGAAGGCTGATATTTCACCATTTTAGTCCTGTTAAACATGATTGTGAAAACGTGAACTCTGTCATTTCCTGTTGCAACATCCAAGTCACATCCACACCACACTTGTTTTTTGAGTACAACTTCTTGAGGTCAATAGAAAGTTTATTTGCTGATTCAGACTGGCAGCTTCTTTAACATCTAATATATGGCCCTATATGTCCCTGTATTTGGCAGAGGTCAGTATACATACAAATACATACATACATGTCTATATGATCAGTAATATATGTGTGTGTGTGTGTGTGTGTATATATATATATATATATATATATATATATATATATATGTATGTATATTACTGATACAAATAAAGACATACTATTTTCTGTTTCATGTGTAATGAACATTGTCTAAATCTGCACATTTTAGTTCGTGATTATTTAATGATTTGAGCTAAGAAAATATAAACCTAATAGTACAAATACAAAATATACAAATGCGCCTTTTTTTAGAAGGAAAAGGCTAATTACAAGATCCTGAATGTATGTAAACTAATAAAGAGTTATGTACATGTATCTACATATTTAAGTAATATAAATCGGTAAAGTCTCATTTATTTTTTGTAGCATACAGAAAAACGTATTTTATAAGTAAATAAACATAAAATTTCATAGTAAATAACAAGACGTAGAGTCACAAAAGTCACAAACACGGTTCTTGAGCTAATTCATTTTGTTTCGAACTAACTTTAATACAATTTTCTAAACAAGACTTTTATTTAAAGAAAAAGCTGCTGTCGTCGGAGTCGCTTCACGCCACGTCGTGTTTTGTTTCCGGTTGTGTCTCAAATGCCTCTGCTCCCTATGTAGTGCACTGCATAGGTCACGTAATGATGACTTCTGTTCCCAAAAAGTGCATTATATGTTTAAAAGAATGGAACTTGCAAATGTAGTCGCGCACACAGCGCACTATTTGGGTGCAGAAGTCATAGTTTCACCACTTATCTTGTGCACTATTTAGGGGATCTACAGCTGTTTGAGATTCAGCCTACGTTTCCTCCGTCCTCGGCGCTGTTTGGCTCCGCTCTCCGTCCTCAGCGCTGATTGGTCGTTCCTCGCCGTCATCGAGGTCACCGGCAAACATGGCAGCGTGCGTGCGAGCGCTGCGGGGCTGCGCGCGCCTGCCCGTGTCCGCGAGTTCGCGGCGCTGCTCCGCTTTGTCGCGCGCTCGCGGTCAGTACACATCGCAGAAGGTGCGACGGACGTTTATTGAGTTCTTCACGGAGCAGCACGCGCACCGTGCTGTACCATCTGCACCCGTGCGGCCGCGCGGAGACCCGAGCCTGCTGTTCGTAAACGCTGGAATGAACCAGGTACGAGCCGACACCCAGTATCGACTCCTGAACGAGTCAGTTAATTTAAACCGTGTTGTTTTTAATGAGTAGGTCGAAAAAGCCCAGCTGAGTCCAGATGTTTGTAGTGTCGACGCAGTGTTTACATCCGTGTTGTAGTCTGAAGATTACACCATTATCGATGGTGTTTGGATTATCTTCTTCTTAGCAACACCCTATTAACTGTGTGGAATATCATAGCAACAGCCTAGCAACCACTTGGGATACCATAGCAACCACCATGTATGGGGGGGCAAAGGTTTGTGCACCCAGCTGGTTTGTGCACAATGGTACAAGTCCTTTAGCAACATCTTGTTAACCATGTGGGATATCCTAGCAACCACCAGTAATCACCTAGCAACCACCTAGGATACCATAGCAACCTCCTTGCACCAACCACCTGGAATACCATAGCAACAACCTAGTAACCCCCAGGCAACCACCTGGGATATGGTTGCAACAACCTAGCAACATCCTAGCAACCACTTTGAATGCCATCGCAACCACTTAGCAACACTTAAGCAACCACCTGCGGCACCATAGTAACCATAGTAACCACCTAGCAATGCCACAGCAGCCCTCTTGGATACTCTGCATTTTCTACAGAAAAGGAACTTGTTTTAATAATATTCCAAAAATATTTTTTTTATTTCATAATTTAACTTTACAAATTCACAACATAAAACAAACACTAACATAAAAAAACTCTCACATCTTCTGAACACTGCAGCTTTTTGCTATGCACTTGTGTTAAAAGCCTCTTTGTATCGGAAGAGATACAAATGAATTTGACATGAATCACTGACACGTTTGATTCAGTGAATCAAACCTCTAGAAAGAGTCGTTTCTGGAAAACAATTCAATCTGATGAGGTTTATTTATCAGTTTTGGGGATGGACGATATGGCCAAACCATCGCAGTACTTTAAGAATTTTTTTTTTCAATATGCATCACGATATTTAATTTCTCAGAAACTTTATAAGTCGTGACAGATAAAATAGAAGCAGCATTGCCGCATTTAAAAAGTACTATTTAAAAAGAGACATTTTTATTCACTCTTTCACAAACTGCACTGCGCTAAATCCAGTTAAACAGAACTGATTATGCTGTCTTCGTCATGAAACATGCAGTCGTTTACTGGTCTTTACGTTCTGCCGATACAGTATCCACAGTATACTCTGAAAAATGTATTGTGATTTGACATAATTTATCACGATCATCATATTTCCTCCCCCCATGTTAGCTTGTTTTAGGAATTTGTCATGGATTATCTTCTTCTTAGCAACACCCTATTAACTATGTGGAATATCATAGCAACAGCCTAGCAACCACTTGGGATACCATAGCAACCACTTGCGATACCATAGCAACCACCATGTATGGGGGGGCAAAGGTTTGTGCACCCAGCTGGTTTGTGCACAATGGTACAAGTCCATTAGCAACATCTTGTTAACCATGTGGGATATCCTAGCAACCACCAGTAATCACCTAGCAACCACCTAGGATACCATAGCAACCTCCTTGCACCAACCACCTGGAATACCATAGCAACAACCTGGTAACCCCCAGGCAACCACCTGGGATATGGTTGCAACAACCTAGCAACATCCTAGCAACCACTTTGAATGCCATCGCAACCACTTAGCAACACTTAAGCAACCACCTGCGGCACCATAGTAACCACCTAGCAATGCCACAGCAGCCCTCTTGGATACCATAGCAATTGCCTAGCAACACATTAGCAACCACCAGGAATACCACAGCAATCACTTAGCAACTCTCTAGTAACCATGTGGGATACATTTCAACCACCCAGCATAATTAACATTTTCATAATGAAATGGTTCAGATGTTAATAAAGGCATTCAGAGTGGTTTGAGCTAAAATGCTCTATTCTAGAGAAACGTACACAGTCAGAACTGTTAACATGGTGCTGATAGGAACCAGACGTCTGAAGGGTTAAGGCCTCTGAAAGGTACATCAGCTGGGGTGGACATGGACGAATGACAACTGAGCCACTGACTGACTAAAACTTTCAGCGTCTGATGTTGGAAGCTCACATGTTTGAAGGATATGATTGTAGCTTAGTGAGGCAGTAAAATAATGCAACCGACATTCAGTAAATTTCACATAGTGTGATAACCTGAGCGCTTAAAATAAAATCCAGCAATTTTAATTATAATTATTTTATATTTAGATATTTTTATTATTAATTCAATTGCTGTGCCATTATTTTGTTATACTGAGTCATTTTTTTGAGATACTGTCTGAGACGCTTTCTCATTATTTTTAGAAAACTTCTCATTAGAATTAGAATTAAAATTGAGATAGTGTCTCAAATTAACGAGACTACCTCACAATAATGACTTAATATCTCAAAATAATTTCTTAGTATCTGAAAATAGTGACTTAGCATCTCAAAATAATTTGACGTTATCTTTAAAAAATGAGATCTTTATTATTTAGAGAGACTATTGAGAAACTATCTCAAAATAACGACTTATCTCAAAATAATGAGTCTCTCTAAACAATGAGAAATTATCTCATGTTAACTTAATCTCTCGAAATAATGACAATATCTCAAAATGATGACTTGATATCTCACAATAATAAAAGTCTCTCTAAATAATGACTTACTATCTCAAAATAATGAGATTGTTTAGAGAGACGAATGA